TTTCGGTCGCTACCCGGATTCGAACCCGGGACCTTTTGAACGAGAGGCCAACACCTTAACCTCTAGGCCACGAGAGCCCCCAATGACTGGTCTGTATACTGCACAGGGTACACATGATAGAGAAATAACAGGATGATAAATAATCATGAAGGTGGAGACTGGTCAGAATGCTGAGTGTGGTACACATGATAGAGAAATAGCACAATGATAAATACTGAGTGTGGTACAGGTGATAGAGAAATAACAATAAAACTAAAAATAAAAGGTGTAGACTGGTCTGAATACTGCACGAGGTACAGACAGAGAAATAACACGATGATAAATAATGAGGGTGGAGACTGGTATGAATGCTGAGTGTGGTAGGCCTACACGTGGTAGAGAAATAACAATGATAAATAATAAAGGTCGAGACTGGCCTGAATACTGCATACAGTACACAGAGAAATAACAATGAAAATAATAATGAAGGCGGAGACTGATCTGAATACTGCACGAGGTACACACAGAGATATAACAACGAAAATAATAATGAAGGTGGAGACTGATCTGAATACTGAGTATAGTAGACGTACATGATAGAGAAATAACACGATGATAAATAAAGAGGGTAGAGACTGATCTGAACACTGGCCAATGTTATACAGAGAAATAAAGCAATAAAAATAATGATGTATCAAAATGGGAACAGTCGGTCACATTTACCACATTGACGTATACATATGGGTCAGTCCATGAGGATTGGCCATTTCTAAAAACTATTTTCCCTAACCAATGTATTTTATTAATTCATATGATCTAATCTAATCTAATCTAAAACAATACGATACGATACTACACTATTCTATACTATAACAATACGATATAATATAATATAACACAATATAATATAATAATTATGAGTTACTTCTTGCAATATTTGTAGATTTTCTATTGATGCCACATTCTTTAGCCATAACCTGTCTTTTATTACTTCATACTTATAAATTGTAAAAACTCCACCTATAAACATGATATATATTACTTCCTTCAGGCTTAAATCCGAGAAGTCGAGAAGTAACTCATTTTGTTAGCAGGCTTCACATATTATCTCGGGATGAAATAATCTATCTTAACTCTACAGATCTTCACTTTATCTCATATATTTTGATCCTTCATCACGTCACAAAAAGTGTTTGTGTGTGTACGTAAGTGTGTGTGAGCCTGCGTGCATGTGCGCGTGCATTTTTTTGTGTATGTGTATGTGTGTGTGTGTGTGTGTGTGTGTGTGTGTGTGTGTGTGTGTGTGTGTGTGTGTGTGTAAAGAGAGGGGGGGGGGAGAAAGAGAGACAGATAGATATACAGACAGACAGACAGACAGACAGACAGACACACAGACAGACAGACAGACAGACAGACAGACAGACACACAGACACTCAGACAGGCAGACAGACAGACAGACAGACACAAAAAATATAGTCAGACATATTTAGAACATAACAAGATAAAAATGGATAATTAATTAAAGAACTAAAGTTTAGTGCACTCACGAATAACCATCTCCAATATATTCCCGGATGAACGCATTCAGCATCTGCACCACAGCTACTGGCTTGGCATGCCACACCCTATCGTTATACAAAGCCACGCCCTTAATGCTGTTGTTGCTTTGGGGTAAAAATTCCGCTCCAATAGGGAAGCGTTGTGAGAAAACGTCGAAACCAACGTCATTCATTTTCTGTAGGAGGTACTCGGAGACATTGGAGGACTGTAGAGACACATACTAGTTTTGGTAAGAGTTTTACTGCACTTGCAGTACATATTGGTCACATCTGTCCCCGTAGTTTTATGCACCCCACATAATTTAGCAAATTTTGATCATATTTTGCATAATTTCTGATTATTTTCCTTTATCATTTTTGGTTAAAATTAAAAGAATCACATAATTTCACATTTTTTGGGCTCAGTTTGCATAATTTCAGATTTTTTTTGCATAAAACCACGGGACAGTCATATAAATGCTGATCAATAGTGGCATAACTGGAGAGTAACATACAAATAAAAGAAGTTTAGTTTTAGTTATAGTAAGAGTTTTACCGCACTTGCAACAGAAATAAAAGTCATATAAATGCCTAACAATAGAGGTGTCACCAGAGAGTAGGATACAACGAAAAGAAGAATATTTTCAGTTTTACTAAGAGTTTTATGACACTTGCAACACAAACAGGTCATATAAATGCTGAAAAACAGAGTTTTACGGAACGACATAAAAGGAAAAGAACTTAAGTTTTAGTTTTAGTAAAAGTTTAGCAGCACTTGCAACACAAAAAGGTTGTACAAGTGCTGAAGATTTCAGGTGCCACTAGAGAGTAACATACAAAGAAAAGAACTTTAGTTTTAACGATAATAAAAGTTTTACGGCACTTGGAGTTATTGGTATGATCTAGAAGCCTGTCCATTTGTCTTGCTTGTGACGAAAAAGTTGTCCATTTTTCTTGGATACAAGTCAGGATATTGGCTATTGAAGGAGTTGGGGGTTGCAAACCTCTGAAACCAGGCAACCCCAACTCCTTTAATAGCCAATATCCTGAGGATAAGGCAAATGGACAGGCTTCAAGATCACACCAATAACTCCATAAGCCCCAAAATTGACGAGCGCCTGATTCCACCACATCATGACACATTTTACAACAGGGGGCTCTCAAGGTCTAGAAGTTACAGCGTTCGCCTCTCGTTCAACAGGCATCGCGTTCGAAACCTGACGGCGACAGGAACTTATTTTTCTCAAAAAAATTGTCATGTTTTCCTTCCGCTTCCTTTTCTGCTCTCTAACCATGTTCTGTCTTCTGCTTTCGTTTCCACTTTCTGCTCCCCCCCTCTCTCTTTGTCCCCTCCTCTGGGCTCCTGATTCTTTCTGCAGCCTTTCTACTTGTACTCCTTGGCTCCTTCTTACTGCTGCCTTTCAGCCACATCCCTGATCTTAGGGTAGGTGACCTAGTCTTTCTCGATAAGGGCGAAAAATCTCAGAAGTCTTCTGTGCAAGTTGCACACATTAAATATCCCTTGGTGGTCCAAATCTGATAAGAGTAGGCTTTGGCCGCCTCCTGGGCGAAGTTCAAAATTAATTCCAACCAAACTGAAAACGTTTAATGCGTCCCGCTCGCTCATATGACCTTATGTAGTTGGGAGCGCAGTAAAACACTTCCCAAAACAAAACATATGACACCAAACCACTCACTTTGTCTCGGTTTATCTTCTCCACAGTTCCAGGATGCGTGCTGAAGATCTCCGCATACTTATCAGCCAAGTCGCTTGAGATGCTCGACGCTGGGCTCCCATCTGTGTAAGGCACGATTGGGTGGTCAAAAGGTGAAAGGTCATAGGCTACTGTGCCCTGGTCACCAACCTCTTGATAGTCACGGGACCCTGTATTCATGTTGAGGATAGCCATGCCGCCAGCCGTCAGGCCAAGGGGTACAAGCAACTGTGAGGAAGATTTGAGGTGAAGTGAAGGGTTATATACAAGGACGATCATGATTGTTGTACCAGTACATAAGAGATGAGATGAGATGACGTGATATAAGATGAGATGACATGAGATGAGACGAAATGGGACCGGATGAGATGAGATGGGATGGGATGAGGTGAGATGAGAAAAAGATGAGATAAGATGAGATGAGATGATACAATGACCATTGCACTACTACTACTATGAGATGAGAAGAGATGAGATGAGATGATACAATGAAGGTTTTGACCATTGCACTACTACGAGTTGAGATGAGGTGAGAAAGGATGAGATGAGATTAGATGAGATGAGTTGAGACGATGACAGTTGGGACTAAAGCACTAACACAGCAAGCTAAGTTAAGCTAGG